ATTACAACCGACATGAAAACAATGAGCCGCATGATGAGGTCGGACACGCGGCACTTAGGGAGCTCCGGTCCAAACCGAGCGCCGACGGTTTGCGCAAAATCAATCACCGCGCAGCGTTTAGCGGGGACGAGTCGGAGCGCGGCGGCGTCCGGTTTAGTCCCGGTTTGGACTCGGTTTAGTTCGGGTTCAGACCTGGTTTTGTACTGGTTGAGTCTTGGTTTAGTCCTGGTTTAGTCCTGGTTTAGTCCTGGTTTAGTCCTGGTTTAGTCCTGGTTTAGTCCTGGTTTAGTCCTGGTTTAGACCTGGTTTTGTCCTGGTTGAGTCTTGGTTTAGTCCTGGTTTTAGTCCTGGTTTAGACCTGGTTTAGATCTAATTTAGACCTAGTTTAGTCCTGGTTTAGACCTGGTTTAGATCTAATTTAGACCTAGTTTAGTCCTGGTTCAGTCCTGGTTTAGTCCTGGTTCAGTCCTGGTTTAGACCTGGTTTAGTCCTGGTTTTAGTCCTGGTTTAGTCCTGGTTTAGATCCTAGTCCTGTTTAGTCCTGGTTTAGTCCTGGTTTTAGTCCTGGTTCAGTCCTGGTTTAGTCCTGGTTTAGTCCTGGTTTAGTCCTGGTTTAGTCCTGGTTCAGTCCTGGTTTAGTTCCGGTTTAGACTTGGTTCAGCCCTGGTCTAGCCCTGGTTCAGTCCTTATTCAGTCCTGGTTTTAGACCTGTTTTAGACCTAGTTCAGTCCTGGTTCAGTCCTGGTTTAGTCCTGGTTCAGTCCTGGTTCAGTCCTGGTTTAGTCCTGGTTTAGTCCCTGGTTTAGTCCTGGTTTAGTCCTGGTTCCCTGGTTTAGTTCCGGTTTAGACTGGTTCAGCCCTGGTCTAGCCCTGGTTCAGTCCTTATTCAGTCCTGGTTTTAGACCTGTTTTAGACCTAGTTCAGTCCTGGTTCAGTCCTGGTTCAGTCCTGGTTCAGTCCTGGTTTTAGTCCTGGTTCAGTCCTGGTTTAGTCCTGGTTTAGTCCTGTTCAGTCCTGGTTTAGTCCTGGTTCAGTCCTGGTTCAGTCCTGGTTTAGTCCTGGTTCAGTCCTGGTTTCAGTCCTGGTTTAGTCCTGGTTCAGTCCTGGTTTAGTCCTGGTTTAGTCCTGGTTTAGTCCTGTTTAGTCCTGGTTAGTCCTGGTTTAGTCCTGGTTTAGTCCTGGTTCAGTCCTGTTCAGTCCTGGTTTAGTCCTGGTTCAGTCCTGGTTCAGTCCTGGTTTAGTCCTGGTCCTGGTTTAGTCCTGGTTCAGTTGTCCTCAGTTATGACACATGTTCAAATCAAATATTATTTTAACATTATCAATTATAATTCTGATTTATTCTGAGTTCCACAAACACTGATCTTGATGGACGAGCTGTTTATGTTATAATTTTGTGTTTTGGTTCTCAAGACAATTACCCCGTCAGAAATCAGAACGAGCCTCACGTGACTCTCTCCTGGGGTGAAAAACTGACGGAAAAAAACAAAACGGAAAACGGACTTCAGGAACCAGGGCGGGCGGTCACTGTTGGGCTCTGAAATCGCTGAAATCCTAAAAAAAGGACTCAGACCAGAATCCTCACGACCTGAACCCCAGCAGCACCCAGTCGTACCTTTTATTTTCTAAAACAGTGCGAGACGAGGTTACGTACAGTTTCTTTAATCAAATAAAAGTCCTGGTTTCCTGGTTGAGTCCTGGTTCAGTCCTGGTTCAGTCCTGGTTTAGTCCTGGTTCAGACCTGGTTCAGTCCTGGTTCAGTCCTGGTTCAGTCCTGGTTGTCCTGGTTGAGTCCTGGTTAGTCCTGGTTTAGTCCTGGTTTCAGTCCTGGTTCAGTCCTGGTTCAGTCCTGGTTTCCTGGTTCAGTCCTGGTTTCCTGGAGTCCTGGTTCAGACCTGGTTCAGTCCTGGTTTAGTCCTGGTTTAGTCCTGGTTCAGTCCTGGTTCAGTCCTGGTTTGAGTCCTGGTTGAGTCCTGGTTTAGTCCTGGTTTAGTCCTGGTTTAGTCCTGGTTTAGTCCTGGTTTAGTCCTGGTTTAGTCCTGGTTCAGACCTGGTTCAGACCTGGTTTAGTCCTGGTTCAGTCCTGGTTGAGTCCTGGTTGAGTCCTGGTTGAGTCCTGGTTCAGTCCTGGTTTAGTCCTGGTTCAGTCCTGGTTGAGTCCTGGTTGAGTCCTGGTTGAGTCCTGGTTCAGTCCTGGTTCAGTCCTGGTTGAGTCCTGGTTCAGTCCTGGTTCAGTCCTGGTTCAGACCTGGTTCAGTCCTGGTTCAGTCCTGGTTCAGTCCTGGTTTAGTCCTGGTTTAGTCCTGGTTTAGTCCTGGTTTAGTCCTGGTTTAGTCCTGGTTTAGTCCTGGTTGAGTCCTGGTTGAGTCCTGGTTTAGTCCTGGTTTAGTCCTGGTTGTCCTGGTTGAGTCCTGGTTCAGTCCTGGTTTAGTCCTGGTTTAGTCCTGGTTGGTTGAGTCTGGTTTGAGTCCTGGTTTAGTCCTGGTTTAGTCCTGGTTCAGTCCTGGTTCAGTCCTGGTTTAGTCCTGGTTTAGTCCTGGTTCAGTCCTGGTTCAGTCCTGGTTCAGTCCTGGTTCAGTCCTGGTTGAGTCCTGGTTTAGTCCTGGTTTAGTCCTGGTTCAGACCTGGTTTAGTCCTGGTTCAGTCCTGGTTCAGACCTGGTTCAGTCCTGGTTTAGTCCTGGTTTTGTCCTGGTTGAGTCCTGGTATTATAACTTGAAGGTTTATTGTGTAACTTTTCTCGGGGAGGGTCCGTCAAATGTTTTTTTCTCGTTATTGATTGGTCTGAAATGTTCCACAGTATGGCATTAATCCTTTCTATCTCCACGGAGACCAAACCAGACCAAGTTACAGGTCAGATCTGTGGAGAGGCGACCCCGCTCACAGTCAGAATGTCTGTTTTTCTAGACATTTCTGAGCTATAAAACCGCCTGTAATTGGATAAACAAGTGTAAAGTAGAGCTGTTTAATGTCGCACTGTGGAACATTCCAGGCAGAGCAGTGAACGTATCCATAGAAACAAAGCAGGTGACGGACCCTCCACCAGAAAAGTTACACAATGCACAATTTAAGTACTGTATTTTCCGCACTATTAGGTCATTAAATGGTCTATTCTCGAACTTTTTTCACAAATAAACCGCGCTGGACTTTAAAGGAAACACAACAATGTGATGGGTGAGTGGTTTTGTTTGTTTGTGGCTGTGACAAAGACGGCCTTTGTCCCCATTTTTCACCTTAGTTCAGTTATATCTATCTATATCAACTAAACAGCTAAATAATAACTATCCCGGGTTTGTTTTATTTAGTCTTTGTTTAATTGATCACATTCACACAGTTACTTTAAATTCATTTTATTTGGTTATATCTAGTGATGTTTACGTTCCGTTCAAGTCTTCGAGGTTGTCCGAGTAGGGAGGGGGCGTTTCCGCAAGCCTTATCGAGGCTTGATTCATTAGGGGAGGAGCTGAAAATGATGAGTCCGAAGCCTCGCTGCCCGGCTGTACCACGTGACTGATTCAGGAAGTGGTTCGGGTTTTGCCGCGAGTTTTGACAGCGATATAAACTGCTCAGTCTTCATTCAAAATGTGGGTGTTTGATGGAGAGTTGCGATCAGTGAGAGTTTGGAAGTTTGGACAGTTTAAACTCACAAAAAAACAATTCTTATTTCTTAGGTAACACCTGTGGCGTCGCCTGGATGACAGAGTCAGACAGACACAAACACAAAATGTAATAGCAGACGCAAATTTTGAGGTCCAACGGTGCATGATGGAGCCAGATATTGGAAGGCTGGAGGACCCCTTCAATACTGGGAGACAGAAATAATGTCTATCCCCATTTATTAAATTAGCAGTGGCATTCTTGTGTGCCTGCCTCATCTGTGCCCTGTGAGCGGGTGTTTTCGAAAGCAGGAGAAATATTGTCAAAAAAAAGAAATGGCCTGAGACCTGCCACAGTGGAGAAACTGTTGTTTTTAAAATAAAAACCAATGATGTGTCCCTGAACCAAATCACCCAACGTTACAAAAGCACAATCACTGTCCAAACTCCAACCCAACCACCCTCACCTCACTGTAAATGATTATTAGCTTTTTCATAATTTCCAAACAATAATTTTCCATACTGCCAGTATATATATATATATAAAAGTATTTATTTATATATATTTATATATACACACACAGTATACATCACTACAATATACATGTTTTGCATACTTCTTTACTTTGCTGACAGTTTTATTCACAGGCTTTCTGCAAAATGCAACACACTTCAAATTCATGTCAACTGATTTTTTTGCAGTAGACGTCCTAGAGCAGAAGCTTCAGGAAGTTTTGCACCAGAGTGAAGCAACTGGATGAAAGGCTTCAATGCTTCATGAAGCTTCATCTGCCCATCACTAGTTATACCCCTTCATTTTGTTTAAACTTACCACCTTTACCTGTGACTCCACATGGTCTGGGAACAAAAGAGGGGGCGTGTCCTTTGGCAGCCATATTTATAGGCTCAGGGGGAGGTGTTGGCCCAGACCATGTGGAGGGAAGCCTCGGAAATGGTTCTTTGTTTTATCAAATGGGTTATTAGAATTTTGGTTTCAGTGTATCTAGTTAAGTTGGAGCACTGTTCAGTTTAAAAGGGGGATTAGGCTTCAGAAAATAATTTAAGGCAGCACACCAGTAAGGAAAGGAAATTGCTACAGTTTTCCCCGTAAGTTGGTGTGAACCCAGGGGGAGGGGCTTCCTCTCTGGGGGTATATAAGTAGAGGCAGTTTAATCAGTAGGAGGTCACCATCAGTGCAGCCAGGTGCCTGTGGGTATTTTCTTTTGTTGCGTTATTTTCTGTTGCTTTTGTTTAGTTAAGCACAGTTCTTTTTTGTAAATATGTGTATAATTTTGGCCACGACTTGGAAGGATCCAATAAAGAATTTGGTTTGGTGAAGGACGACTTTGCGCTGGACTCTCATTTTGACCACTTGGGCCAGCTTCCCCACAGTGGCGTTCACGGTGACTCTGGGCTTTGTTCAGTTGTGGCGTGTAGGGAGGGTGTGTCTGGGACCAACGGATTGTCGGCGTGTTCGCAGTGACTCAGTTGTTCAGTCGTGTCTAGAAGCGGCACGTCGCGCTCGCTTTTTTCGGTTCGTTCCTCCGTTCCGTTCCTCGTCGGCGTGGAGCGATGAGTGTGTCTGCGGGTGTGTTTCGCCGTGCGGTCGCTGTCTGCTCCGTGTGTGTTTGTAGTTTACTGAAGTCGTGCTGGGACACCCGAGTGGATTAGTGTATGGGGCGCTCTGGATTGTGGTGCGCAGTCGTTTTTTGATGCGGTTGGCGTCTAAAAGCCCGGAAAATACGATAGTTTGTTTCATCAGCCGGTTTCACTTTGTGGAAACCGTCTGTCCTCACAGCATTAGAATTTGTTCACTTGACGATAGGCGGGTACTTTTTTACATTTTTTTTTTTTCAATTTATTTATTTATTTGTTTGTTTGTTTGTTTTGTTTTGCACGTATAAGATAACAATAAAAACAAAAAACAAACTAACAAAAAAACACTAGATAAAAAAAGTAGGTGCCGGAAGAGGAAAAAACCCTGTTCTTCTCAAATCTTTTCAAGTAACAGGCCTCAAGTCTAAGTCAAGTCCCAAGTCAAATACAGGCAAGTCCAAGTCGGGTCTCGAGTCACTGACCCTTAAGTCCATGTCAAGTCCAAGTCGTCTCCTTTGTGCTTCAAGTCGTTAAACCAAAGTACCGAATATAATATCGCTTAGATTTTTGCAATTTATTTGACTCACAGGCCTCAAGTCCGAGTCTAGTCCCAAGTCACTGAGCTTCAAGTCCAAGTCGAGTTCCAAGTTTTAGTCCATTTCATCAAGTCTCAAGTCCTAAAAATATTGACTCAAGTCTGACTCGAGTCCAAGTCACGATTTGCAAGTCCACACCTCTGCTAGAGCTGATCAAACATGAAACATACACCCACATTTAACATTTAACACTGAAATTGATTTTTTTTTCTAACCATGATTGACTCTGGACCTGTCACTTGGATGTTTGCCCCTGTCTCACCTGTCTCACCTGTCTCACCTGTCTGCTCCTGTCACTGCTTATTTTAGTGTGTTCTGTCAGACCCAATAGATCAGTATGATTCTCAGCTCTGCAGCGTTGAGCCTTATGTCCCTTTTTGTTCTTCTGCTAAACTATTTTAATTGGACCAGATGCTTTTCTGTAAAGATTAAAGGTCTGATATTACACAAAACTGACTCTTGTGAGGTTTAAATCATGTTAAAATGTTTTTACCTCCTCAAAAACAGACCTGGAGTTGTGTTTTGTTTCATTCATTCATTTGAATAATCCTGGTTTATTAGTCTGTTTACATTTGCAAAGCTCAAAATGCTGTGTTCCACCTTGTGATGTCATCAGTTGGTAGTTTTCAAGGCAATTCCAGGGCTGAAATGATCCAAATGATTCTAATGAAAGTGTATGGAGTTTAAAAACACAGTGGAGCACTTCCTGTATTACCACATGACATCACAAGGTGGAGCAGAGTTTTCAGTTTGAGAGAAGAAGCCTAAATGTGGAGGTTTGTGTGAATGAAACAAAACAAAACTCCAGGTCTGTTTTTGATGAGGAAACGTCATTATAAAACAGATGAGAAACAGTTTAATCTGGGCGAGTTTAAGGAGAATCCCTGAGTGGATTTGGCAGCAGGTTTCTCTGGTCACCTGCCAGACGCCCTCGTCGTAGACTTTCATGACCACTGCCACCGGGAGGAAATAAACATTTAATACGTGTTGCAAAATAGTTAGTTTCACAGTGATAAAATTATTACAGCAAACTTTTGTTTTTGTCATTTGGCTTTATAGATTTTTAATGTAATTCCGTTTGATTCTTCTGCATCTGATGCAACGATGAGCCAACTGTCCCTGGCATTGTCTCGGAGACATAACTTTCTTGCGTTACTTACCCAAAACTTGGGGCTTGATTTAGCCATTTCTTTGTCTGATGGCTTCGAAACCCATTTGAAATGGATAAATGAATATTTCCAACTCTTCCCTGAAGCTTTAAAATATGTGAGGTTCCAGGGCCAAGCGGGAATGGACAGATATGAAATGAGCAACAGATGGCTTGAATTGATGAGGAGAGGAAAATGACACCATCGAGTGCAGGCGCACAGGCATTTGGGCTCATTTCAAACCATCGTCTTCATCATAATAAAGCATTCATTTTTTTTAGCCAGAGGAGAGGAGCTCTCCTCAAAAACAAGAGCCAATATCTGTTCATCACACCAGCGCTAATACGAGAGAGACACAAGGCAAACTTCTCTAACTCTGTCCTCACTCAGAACAAAGTGGAAGAATTACAAAAGAGATTACAACAGGCTGCCTGACATAACGCTCTGCTCTCCACACCAAACTGTCATTAGAAACACACTCAAGCCTCTTTTACTAAAGACGTTTGTGGAAATGAACACTTTAACTTTAAATCAGCAGAGACAGAGAATGATTTGCTGAAATTATGCAAACGATTCCAGTGACGGTTTATGGAGTTTAAAAACACAAGGGACCTGAATGA